TGTATATATATACATATACATGTATATATACATATATATATATATATATATATATATATATATATATATATATATATATATATACATATATATACATGTATATATATACATATATATGTATATATATACATATATATATATATATATATATATATATATATATATATATATATATATATATATATATATATATATATATATATGATGCATGTTTGTGTGTGTGTGTTTATGGATGGTTGTATATATTTCTGTGTGTGTTGATATAGATAATGATATATAAGATAAGTTATAGTTCATTCCGTAATACTTTTTTTCAGTCCAAATCCAACATGTGATGAAAAAATGTAACGAAAGAGTACTCACCTTCGTAACAGCGTAGTCTGACTTCTTCGCGAGCTGAGAAATGATCTCCGTGATGTCGTATTTTGGGAGCGTCATTAGACCGGAGTAAATAACGCTGTCATTCTGGGGACATGGAGTTGTTTTGTTTTACTTGGAAAGGCGTTTTTCAAGAAACATTAACTAAGGTATTCAAAGGGAAATTTGTACGATTTTTCTTCATTTTCTTTTATCTAAACGACTCCCAGGCCATATATGATTATTAGTCCACCCTATTCTTGAACTCACAATGAAATTGACAACTGATGTGTCTGCAGAGTCGAGTTCGATGAGGACCGAGCACATCTGCGTGTCGAAGGGGTAGCTGAACAGGTAGAAGTTGCAGGAGAAGCTGGCCGAGTAGAACGTCTTGCTTACGAGGGCGACGCTGCTGGGGAGGTAGATCGTCTCTGTTGAAAAATATACAGACCTGCAATATGTATATGTAAATAGTGATAGCTATAATTACTATTATTACATACATATATGTATATATATACAATTACATAAGAAAAAAGTGACAGGTGAAAAGTCCCATGTAAATGGAAACATGCTTCAGGACTAACATTCTTATGTTTCGCTTCAAGCACCGCAAAAAAAAGAAAACAATGGCGACTGCCAAACTTGAGAAATGATTCTCATTTATTTGCCAAAACATTCCTTTTGGTATCAAATGACAAATTCAAGTGACGGATTATTTTAATCTGATAAGTAATTCAGACGACATCCGCCGCTAAACTCCCCGGACCTCATAGACTTTTCGAAGTTTGGGGGAAAAAAACGGGAAGAGTTTAATGACATTTAGAAAGGCTATTTCCTCTCCCTTGGTTCGGTTCCTTAGCTCCTCGCCTAAACAAACTTCTACAGCATTCTTTCTCTGGCTCTGATTTATTCACATTGTCTTTCTTTCTCTCTTGTCCATTTATTTATTAAGCTATCCATACTCTCCTTTATTTTCTTTCATCAACATTTCTCGCATTTTTTTTCAGGAATTCATATTTGGTATTGTGTCTGAGGGCGCAATGGAGGATATCCGTCAAAACTGCTTATCCGATTAAAACTAATCAGTTTCGAAAGCATAGTGCAAGCATCATTAGTCCCTGAACGGTGGGCACAGGATAGTGAGGCCTTAGTATCAAGTAACATTAAACCATTCGCCGTTTAATACTCAATTTCCTTTAGTATAAAATCACTATATATGACAACCTACCCAATTATGTGATAAAGGTGAACCATAGTTTTTACACTTGTATAAGTATGTGCTATCAATAGTTTTGCAATTATAACCTCACCCATCATGGCGTCATTGAAATCTGGGGGTTCTGCTTCGCCCGTCTGACGTGCGTACACATTTGACTTCAGCTTCTTCAAGAGACCGTCGTTCACGTTCAGAAACTCGATCTCTGGCGTCCAAATGGAAGCAACCTCTTCCGTCGACAACTTGTTTTTGTCTTCCTCCTCCTTAATGTTCTTAAACTTCAGGTTCCGGTCAGTCCAAGTCAGGTGGACTTCGAACTCCATGTAGAAGGCGAGGTTGATGTCGTCGATCTTGGAGAACCTGACGATGTGGACGTGGGGCTGGATGTACAACACCTCCCGGTAGGTCCTCCCGGGGGGAGGCCGGTGACTGGCGTACCTGCCGCTGAACAGGACGATTCCACAGTCGTTCTCGTCGCTTCCGTCGACGCAGTCCTCCCTCAGGTTACAGCGGACGTTCCTGGGAACGCACGAGCCGTCAGAACACATGAACTCTTCGATGGTGCACGAAGACAAACCCAGATTTATCTTGTCTCCCACAGCGAAGTCACAGAAAGGCTCCAGAACGTCCCACACGGTTCGTCCGAGCGGATACTCTTCTGGCTGCTCCATGGTCATGGTGGCCAGTGTTAAGTTGGCCATTGTGTCCTTGAGAACCCACGTTCCTTCGCCAACATTAAAGATGGCCATGCCGTAGTAACCCCTGAAGTAAGGCCGAGTGTTCACATACCCATCCATTATGAAGCGGATTTGGTGCTCATTACTTTTACATAACCCGCGTATGAAGAAAAAGTTTTGACTTGTCATTCCGCAGGAAAAGCAGTTGCTATAAGCGCAATTGAGGTCGCCCCACCGCGGCATGTCAGTCCGCATAACAACACAGTTGTCGTTTTGTCCATTGTTGGGTTCGCCGTCAAACCACTGCGTGAACCTTAATGGCCTTCTCGTATTCATGTCAATCCAGACACCTTCTTCCTCTTCGTCGGTGGCGGCTATGAGCAGCCGCCTGTAGCTCTTGAAGTCGCACACGTCCTTGAAGTTGTTGCTTTCTTGGTACAGCCGGTCGTTGGTTTCCTCGTCTCCGGGAACGAAGAACACGCTGTCGAGAAGGCTGCAGAAGGAGCGGGCTGCGGGCGCCTGGCGAATGAGCGGGACGATCACGAAGCGCGAATCCGCAGCGCAGAACGCCCGGTGGGGCACGGCCTCCCTCGTCACTCCGGGCTGGTCGAGCGCGTCGACGTCCGACGACAGCACGTTCCCCCGAAGGTTCTCAAGACATCCGGCCAGACTCTTTACAGTTTCTTCCTCCAGTGCATAGTCCCAGAGATTTAACTGTCAAGATAGTGCAATTAGGCAATTGTGGTAATAATGACAATATCTGTAACAAGAATGTTGATTACAACATTAATAATAACGATAATAGTATTGATTACAAGGACTGCATTTCCTATGATTATCAAGTATTCATAATGACAATAATGAAATTCTTATCGCCTGTCGCAGCTCCCGGTGATGATGATTCATAATGATGATTGTATACCTGCACAATTGATTTGCTGGTAACAATACTAATGTGATATTTACCTAGAGAATAGAGTCCTAGAATAATACCAATAAAGATAATAGTAACAAAAAATGAGTAATAAGTCATTGCTACAAATATCAATTAATAAAGATAGCCGATTTACGATAGTAATATAACAAATATTACCAACGATAACAGTAATATGGGTAATAATTATGATAATTGCAATGATAATAATAATTATCATAATTATTATTATTATCATTATCATCATCATCATAATTATCCTTATTATCATCATAGTTACTTTTTAAATATATAATAAATAATATAAATAATGATAACAATGATAAGGATAATAATAATATCAATGATGATAATAATAATGGAAATGATAATAGTGATAATGATGATAATAATCATAATAATGATAATAACAATAATTATCATTATCATTACAGCAATGGGAAGGAGGAGAGGAAGGATGATGGTGATGATGGAGATAATGATGACGATATTCATAATGGTGAGGACGAGGATGAGGAGGAAAATCATAGTAATAATAATAATAAACATTGATATTGCTGTTGGTGTTGTTATGAATACATCAATAATGATAATGATAAGCACATCGATAGCAATGATAAGCACATCAGTACTGCTACTGATATACTAATACATTAATAATAATGATAATGACAATAATGATAATAACAATGTTACTGCTGACAATAACAACAAGGATGATAGAAATAATAATAATAATGATGATGATGATAATGATTATGATACTAATAACAATTATGATAGTGATGATGATAATGATAATAACAGAGATAATGACAATGATAATAATAATATAAGAATAACAATAATAGATGAGAATAAATAACAGCCAATGATACTGATATAAAACAATAATAATGATGACAAAAGTAATGATGATTGATGATGATAATAATAATATTATAATTAAATTATTATTATTATTATTATTATTATTATTATGATAATAGTAACAATGATAAAGTAATGATCGCAATGCTAATAACGGTGGTAAAAAAATATCAAACCAATTCAAATAACGGCCCACATCGTAATAATAAAATACCGTAGATTATTTTGATTTGCAATAATACAGTTCTCATTCATATAACCTTATTTATAAATACAGATAATTTAACATAAGTATCTTCGTCACCATAAAAACAGACACTATAAAATGTCGTTACAGTCACTACACCGCAATTTATGATAATATCTGTACCATTATACCATCATAACTTACTGTCAGTTACTAACATATCAAATATCACTTTTGCTATTTTATATGATAAAACATACCAATTTACTTAAATATCAAAGGCATTTAGTATAATGTGCAGGAAAAAAAAGTGAGCGACGTTATAAAAAGTTGATATAATATGGTTGTTGGCGATATCTTTATTTTCAAAAATACAGGTAGATTAATAAATGGATTAACAGGTAGATGATTGAATGTGCAGATGAGTAGATAGTTACATTGACAGCTAGAGAGAGAGAGAGAGAGAGAGAGAGAGGCAGAAAGACAGAGTTCGATCGCCTGATAGACAATAGAGACAAACCGACAGAGATCTACCGTCCATCGACCTCTTTCGGTAACTGACCTGAGCCGCGAAGCCACTGAGGGTCTGGTCGGGGTCGGTCCCGCCGTCGTAGCGGTCCTGGTCTTGGCCCACGTAGAGCGTCCCGTTGAGAGGCAGGCCCGTCGTGCGTCCAGCGAGGCGGTCCTTCCTCACCAGCGTGCCGTCGAAGTAGACCCTGTGGAGTTGGGGAACGTGTGAGAAATCCTGAGGCAAAG